ATGGATGGATGGATGATGGATGGATGATGGATGGATGGATGGATGGATGGATGGATGGATGGATGGATGATGGATGGATGGATGGATGATGGATGGATGGATGATGGATGGATGATGGATGGATGGATGGATGGATGGATGGATGGACGATGGATGGATGGATGGATGATGGATGGATGGATGGATGATGGATGGATGGATGGATGGATGGATGGATGGATGATGGATGGATGGATGGATGGATGGATGGATGGATGGATGGATGGATGGATGATGGATGATGGATGGATGATGGATGGATGATGGATGGATGGATGGATGGATGGATGGATGGATGGATGGATGGATGGATGGATGGATGGATGGACGATGGATGGATGGATGGATGGATGGATGATGGATGATGGATGGATGATGGATGGGTGGATGGATGATGGATGGATGATGGATGGATGGATGATGGATGGATGGATGGATGGATGGATGGATGGATGGAGCCAATGGATGGATGATGGATGGATGGATGGATGGATGGATGGATGGAGCCAATGTGCACAGATGTTTCCTTGGCAGTGGGCAGAATGAAGTCTTCTTGATGCCTCCCCTCTCCCTCTTCAGTGCTGTGCCTTGTGCTAATTACCTCCTTTCATCCAGCTCGGGGTTAAATTTCACGTTTCGATGATTAATCATTAATCAAATGCATTTGAAAATTAATTTGGCAATTCTACAACTGACTGGCATGGTAATCTCTTCTGTGCAGCAGGGATGGTATGGGAATAACCTCAGATGTTCTGAGCTGCTGACTGAGGTGAATGCATGAGGGCATTTACTGTCACATGTGGTGCAAAATAAAACACTGAGTGGAAACAGAAGCATTCTTTGAGACCCCTCTGCAACTCAGAAAAGATGTGATCTGCATTTTGCCTTGCCTGTATTAGGAATATATCATTGATACTATCATGTCTAACAAAAAAACAAATGGACAAATTTGAAAAACTCCCCCACAGTTGATTTATTCCTGTTTAGCTGGTAGCAACTGCAGTGGATTCGATGCATTAATTATGGGACTAAAAAGAAAAATCACAAGGAGAATAACTTTTGCTCTTTCCAGATGTCCATGCCACTTTTCTCCAAAATAACACTCATCTGGTAAAAGGGGAGGAGAGGGGGTGTGCAGCTTCCACTGGGCACGTGGTCCCCGCTAGTTTCGAGCGACAAGTCCCTTTTTACAGATGAAGAGCCCCGCAGCAGCCACGGAGGTGAGACACAGGGTGCAGCTCAGCAGGCACAGCAGCCCCGGCGCCGAGGGCAGGTTCCTTTCCCAGAAGGTGGTGGTGAATGGTCGGGCTGGGACATCCTGGGGGAGAGAGGAGATGGTGACTCCACAAGGTCCCCCCTCACCACAAGAGCAGGGAGGTGACAAACACCCTCCATGAGGATTTTTTATCAAGGACCAGATTGTGCAGGGAAGAGTCATGGCTGTGAGATGTGTTTTCTGTCATCCTGACCAGCCATGGGACAGTGGAGATGGAGTTACTTGTGGCTGGAATGAGGTTCTAGTTGCTTTAAACCATGGCCTGGGACTGGGCAGAATTAGGCTGCATTTTTCAGTCCCCCAGGCTCTGAGATCATTGTCCTTGGCTCTTAGTCACCCACCCTTCAGACATGGGTAATATTATTCCTTGGACAGGACACAGAAATTAATACCATCAGCATGTGAGGTGGCTGAAGCCTTGTCTGGCAGCAGGGTGCAGGGGAATACCTGAAATAAGGACACACCTGACTGAGGGGTGTGTGCCTGACTGGGTGACAGTGATACTCTGGCTTACCTTTGACTCTGGCTCTGGCATCCAAATTTCACTCTTGGAGATCTTCCCCATACTGTGCAGTACCTAGAAGAAAAAAATTATTTGTACTATGTGAAAAAATTATAACCCTTACAACTCTTCCACTTTTAGAGAAGGAGAGGAAGTCAGAGCAAGGTGACATTGATAAAAGTGTAACTATGACAAGATGAATGTCTCTTGAACCAGAAAACGTACAGTGATTTCTACTAGAGCGTCTCTAAATATTTTCTGTGGGAGGTTTTTACTTTTGGGGTTTTTTTCTGAGTTAAAATGCTTTTTCTCAAGGCAGTTTGAGAAATACCAAGGTGAGGTTACTACCATGGGACACAAAACCTGTTAGGAGTGATGCTTCTGGGACATAGAAAGAGGAGAGATGCAGCCCTGAGGCTCTCACGGCACAGAATTATGGAGCCCTCCCTCTCCTATTCAGGCAGTACAAAGCTCATCAAGGATTTTTCTTGAGAATAAACTGATTGTATCAATCATGGGGATTCTTGGGGGCGAATGAATGCCTCCAGAAGACAGCTCACTGTCTTTGTAACTACTGCTCACAGGCACGGAGAAAAGAAAAATTAGGTGACTTGAAACGAAGCAAGTAATAAGGATTATAAGGCAAATGTGACATTCTGTCAAATGGAAGTGAAAGGGATTTTAAGATTTTCTCTTAAACAACAACTCTGTGGCTTTGCAATGCAGCAGTTGTAACTGCAATGTGCACCCTTTAATGCTTTTTTCCCCTCCCTCCAGATTGTTGTAAAGGGATTTCACTGTGACTGGGAACCCAGCCCACTGTGTGTCATTCTGAGGAGATTTAGACATTATCAGAGCTGCACATTACAATTTCATAAAGCTCAGCTAACAGGACTGTCTTGTAAAAATAGAAGCAGAAGGGATAGATCAGAAACGAGAACAATGTTCAGATTTCCAGATTTCTGCACAGGAAATAGCTGTGACCATTTGAAATTACTTAGGTTAGTTTTAAAACATGCAGTGATTAACTTATTAGAAATTGAGGTAGTGTATCTACAAGCAGGATCAGGTTGGGTTTTTTTTTCCTCTAGACATGCAGCACATGGCATAAGCTTTATTTTAAGTCTCCAGTTCAGTAACATTCTGATTTAGTTGAGATTCTTGGCTTCACTTTATTCAACAACTAATTAAGTAAGTTAAAAAAAAAATAAAAATACTTTGGCCACGTTGTTTTCTGGGATTCCTCCCTGTCAATTCTAGGAGCCTTTGCACTAAATCAGACCCTCCCAGCTGTACTTAATCCTTTCTAGCCTTTTGCTAGAGATGTTGGAAGCAGAGCAGTGTACCTCTCTGGCTGCTCTCTCTCCCGCCTGCACGGCCCCCTCCATGTATCCGCTCCACTGGCTTGCTGTCTCCGTGCCAGCAAAGTAGATTCTGTCAACAGGCTGGCGAATGATCCTTCAAAACAAGTGGAGAATGTCAGGTGACAAGTGACAGGAAGGCAATGATCCTTCTAAAAGCAATCTATGGCTTTGATGGAGTGTGTGGCTTCAGCTCTCCAGAGTCCCTGCAGACCTGCTGTCCCTGCAGGACCACCTGCTCACTTCTGCACCCAGAATTAAAGATCTGAGAGAGAGAAAAACCTAAGGCATAAATCAGTGTTCCCAGCTTTTCCCATGCAAAGTAATACAGGCCTTATTTTAGTGCTGAGATAAGGGATAATCCTAACAGCCTCCAGCAATGCAGTGCAGCTGATAGATTTGTCTTCTGCACGGCAGCCTTGCTGTTATCCTGCCATTACTGTGGAATGTGAATGATGTTTTTGCAGTGATAGATCACTAATATTAGCCTCTATTTGGAGGCTGGATTTGTCTGGCTGCTGAAGGCCTGGCATTCAGGGAGCTGCATTCACCCCACAGGGTCATAAAGCCAGTCCCTCAGCCCTGCAGTGCTGCACAAGCATTCCAGCCAGCCCAGCTGGAGTGTTCCTCCACCGGGAATAATCTAATAATCTAATCCCCCAGTAGGTTCTCCTTGTCTTCTTGACAACCAGAGGCTGCTGGAGGCCAGACACCCCACCCATCACTGCCTGAGTGTTTGGATCAGTGACAAGAAAAGGGATTGTACATGGGACGACTCCTCCCCACACGCTCTCATGATGGACATGGGGAGGAGCTCCTGGGCTTCTCCTGGACCACCTACACAGTCAGTGGAGACCCCTCATCTGTCCAAGGTATGTGTCCTCATGGGCTTGGGGGTCTCCAGAGGGTTCCATTGCAAATTCTGCACAGCACAAACTACTGTAAATAATCCAGAGGGGAAAAGTTTTGTGGCTTTAGCAGGTTCCCTTTGTGACTGTGTTTTGTTTCTTTGAAAGGCACAAGGGAAATTCTGCTCTTAGTAAAGTAAATAGTAAGATCCTTGTTAGAGTGGGAGTAGGGGAGTGGAAAGAGTGTTGAAGTTCCCCATATATTCTAAATATGCCATAGGATTTTTTGCATAAGGTATATAAGTGAGCTAAGAAACGTGAATTTGAAAGCAAAGCATTCTCTGTTTTACCTGCCATAGGAATGCATTATGCCTGGTGGGAAGTAGGCTGTGTAGCAGCCCCCTGAATATTGCTCCATGGTCCAGTTCTTCTCTTCATAATGCACAGGCTGTGAGTATCAACAGAGAAAACACTGAAACACTGGCAGAGAAATTGGAAATAACATATTTCTTTTGAAGAGGGGGGAAAAAACAGGCTAAGAACACCTGACAAAGGAGTGCCATGTCATCTGGCTAATCCTATCCATCTGCACAAAACAAAATTTTGTGCTTTTACAGAAACACCAGTCTCCCATGGGTACATGACAGGACAAATTAAAACATGCACTGCCTTCTCTTTTCTTGTGCAGGGTGAGACTGGCAGTTCTTTTCTTCCTGTACTCCGTGCTGCCCTCCCCTTGGGAACACAAACTGTGGCACAACATGCAATTCTAGGTACACATTTCAAGGTGCCAGGGAACTTTGGCACTTGAAGGAACTTGCCTTTATCACCCAGAACAAAGGAGAAACACTATTGTGCAACAGAGGCAAAAACAGACATTAATTCCTTACTTGTAAAGCCTCTTTCATCCCCAGTGCCTTGGCATATGCCTCACAGATCTTCTTTTTCCTGTATGAAAATAAAATCAGAGTCAGAAAAAAAAGGGTGGGAGGGGGAAGCTCCCCACTCACATCTTTCTTATAAAAAAAACAAATTTATTGCAACACATTGGAAAGCAAATTAGGTAAGGCTTTAAGTCTGATTTCAAGTTCTTAACATACATATTTCAAATGCTGATGCCTGAAAGTTACATCTAAAATGGACTCAGGGAATGGGAAATGAAGGTTGATTTTGGCAATGAGGTCTACAAAAATAAATCTTTGTACAGCTATTTTAGGATGCAGAGGCAATTCATTCTCATGTTCACTGGTGTAAGACCAGAAGAAAAGCAATATAAATCAATTAAATCCCTACAGATTTACTATAGCTGGGAATAAAATATGAGCTGAAGAATGCTGCTCACATTCCTAAGCAGAGCTCCTCTTTCACTTGCACAGTACCAAAAGTCACATTTAGAAAGTACTGTTTGTTCATTTCACTGACTAATGGGAAAACTGTGCTTTTGCAAACACAGAAGTTTAAAAATTTTATCACCTGGTCTGAATCTGAAGACCCAAAAGGAGACATGTCAGCACTCCTGTATCCCTGGGTTAAAGCATCATTCAGTGGAGATGTAGTTTGGGAACATGGTTAGAAAAACCTTCTCTGTTCACACTGAGACCCAGAATTAGTAAATCATAGCATGGAAGAGTGGGCAGGACTTGGAAATTTAGAAATATCCATAACTGGATGAATATTAGCATTAGCATCTTGGCCTGTTTATGCTAAAATGTCAATTTCTGCCCCAATTTACAGTGCTGGTAGTTGCACTGAGCATGTATAAATGTGCATATTCACACACATAATTCACACACATTCCTGTAGGGAAGCATCCCAGAGAAACAATTTGTTTCTGAAAATCTACAGCTTCTGAACTCTTACCTCTCTTCCTTGCTGAGATGGGCCAGTTTGACAGCCTTTCTGGTAAGGATGAAACTGAAAATAAAAATAAGGCATGTGAACATCACCCCAGCTGATATGCAAGCTCTTGCTCAAAATTACTCTAAAAAGAGAAAAAAGCAAAGCACTTTTCTGGTATGTAATGAGCTTCATGTTTGTCATCATCCCTCAATATTTAACAATTACAGGCCACACATGAAAAAGCCTGTGCAGGGTAACCTGCAGAGTTAACTGAAAGGGAGGGTGTGCATTCCCAGAGGGCTCTGATCCAAAAGGACTGAGACCCTGAGCTTTCTTGAGCTTTTGAACTCCAGCAGGCAGCTGCCTGTGCCACTTGGTGTTAGCAAGTGCTGGCAGCCTGCTGCTCTGACAGGCATGCACAGTGTCATGGATCACTCCTGCAAGAACTGGGATCAATGTTTATTCATCTTGAAGGAAACAGATTTGCCAGTCAGTTCATCTGACCCTAGTGGAGATATCCAGGGGATGAAGTATGTTCCTACACTCTTTTAGAAAGTCACATAAATCCGTGAGGAGGAAGAAAGCTGGAAGCTGTTTGCCATATGGGGTTTGGAGGAGGCTTGCTGCTCTCAGCTCATGAAAGCCTTTTTTAAGCCTTGAACATGCCCATAAACATGTACAGTTCAGTAGAAAAGGTGAGTTTCCCCTGCCAGACACTTCAGGAGTAGTTGCCTGACATTTATTTATATTGGCCTTTTTTTGGCAGTCTCACCTCAGATTACAGTGGAAAGACTTGTAAAGATAGTTTGTTCATTTGGTTTCAGCTGTTTTGAAAGACAGTCAATGCTGTCATGTATTTTCCCCCCTGTTTGTCCAAACTGTAACATTTTTACTTGTCAGTTTCTACAGAATCTTGATTTTTTCACTGCACAGCTGCCTCCCTGCTCCAGTAGCTGATGTTCCTTGTCCTGCCTCAGCTCAGTGGAGACAAATGAGGATTTCTTGGACAATTGCAGTGTCATTTTGGACCAGGCACTAAACATAAAAGCCCAACATAAGCCAAATACAGGTTCACACAGGTAGGTATGAGAGGGAGTTATTTCTAAATCTACTCCAAAGCAAAAAAAAACAAAAACAAAAACAAAACAAAACCAAAACAAAACCATGAACTGAATGCTTAAAAAAAACCTACAGCTAAACTCAGCAAATCCTTCCCAACCACATCCTTTGTATTAGGCTGTTTTATTAGAACCTTCTCCAGAAAGTTTATATGGACTAGAGAGGCACAAGAGGCTTGGCAGAAGTGTTCTCCATCTGTGCAAACAGTGGAAGTGGCAAACACTGATGTAACCTGGTCATTTCCCCTCTCCCTCCTGCTCCCACTATCTCTTACAAGAGGAAATACACATCTGTGAGTGTGGGCCAGCAGCTTTTACCCCATAATGGCAGGAAAAGTTCCATCAGGTTTTGTGTCATCTATGGTTATTCCAATTGGAGACTCTTCATCCTCAATGATGAAGGAACCACAATAACCTAAGGGAAAAGAAACCCCAAGATGATGGCTGGAAAAACCTGTTGATGATCATTGTTGCTGATAGTAATGAGCAAGCGAAATTATCCATAAAAGGAACTGTACAGTAATTCTGTTATTACCAAAAACACCTACATGTCTGAAGTGTCTCTCTAACAGTTTCTCAATTCTCTTCTCTCTGACTCTGGGAAATCAAGAGATTTGTTTGTACACAAACTTGTAAAAATCTTTAAAATTCCATTGTTACTTAACATGGAATTTCTACAGATTGCTGCAAGTCCCTTTGGCTTTCTATTTTGGGGACAATAAACATTAAAAATAAATTGATCTAGTCAGGGCTATGGTGATTCATTCCATGAATAACTTTGACTAAAACAAAACCCAGTGTAATTACATCTGGTCACTGCAGGCTCAAATTTACACTATTTTGATTTTTCTGGTGATAAGATTGTTAGGAATGGTGTTCCATAACAGCAATGTACAGAAGCATGGGCTGTCTAATCTCAGATCACATCATGATGTGATTCAGATGAACATGTGAAAAATCTCATCTAGAGAACAATGTATACACCTGACTGCATTCCTGCCTAATCTCAATGGCCAGTTTATGCCCTGAAACATGCAAAAATTATATTACTTTAAGAAATATTCTCACCACTCTCAATATTGGTAGGAAGAAAGTGGAACTAATCTGTTCATACAAATAGTTATGAAAATGGTATCAGTTAAAGCTGAGAAAAACAAGATATTACAGCATGGAAAAAATGTCTTGAGCTACCCAAAATGCTAACCTACTTTTCCCAATCCTCTGAGATATCAAGTCTGCAGAACAGAAGATTAAAATCAGGGAAAGGTCTTGCTTATACCTTAAGCTCTGCTTGTCATCTGCTGTGAATTCTCTTTGGCTGACCTAACTGTCCCTGCCAGGAGGAGGAGGGAGCTGATGCTGCAGGGAGGCTGATGCTTCTGTGCTCTGTAGATTTCAGCAAGGTTTCCCAGGGAAACATTGCTTGTTCTCCTGGTCATCCCACTTCAGCCAACTGCAATAGGATTTGGGATCTTGTTTGGATCTGGACTCACCCTTGGGACAAGGCATGCACTCAAGCTCAGAGAAAGAGTTCTGCTCTCTAAGGAGCTTTCCTTTTCACTTTTCTGTATGTTTGATTTTGGGGTTTTGCACATTTAACTCCCCCTTGGATTTATTCCCTGATTAGCACTCTGACACCATTCTCTGACAGCAGAACTTCAAAATTTGCACAGAGTTCCCAAGTCCTCCACTTTCCCCACCTACCCTTCCTCCTCCAGAAGGCTTCCCTGTAGTACATCATGCATTTTATGACACTCCCCATAGGCAAACGCTGAATTAACTGGTTTCTCTTTGGTGGCAGCTCTGGTTTGTAATGAATCTTTGTTGTCAGGATTGGAGGGATGGCACTGATCACGTACTTGCCCTGAAATGTAGAACAAAGTCAGCACAAGGCGCTGCCTCCCCGCGAGCTCATCCCACGGGACAAGTTTGAAAGACACCTTTAATAGCTGCTAACAGCTTTCCCACATCTGACCCTGCTAGGTGGCTTTCCCACACACTTATTTCCAGGTGACAAAAGTCATTCTGACATCTCAGAAAAAAGGAGCTGGAAAAAAGAGATCAGAGTTGAAGCCTGGCTGGAGACAGGTGGGGAAATGGGACAAGAGACATCCTATGGCTCAGGTAAATGCTCAGGCATTTCATCATCTCCAGGAAAATATGGCCCACATTTTTCCCAATTATAAGATGCTAAAAAAAATCACATTTGTGCATATTCACAGGATGTTTCTTCAGGACAAGGAATACTGATGGTGATTCCAGCTGCTCTGAATGTGCTCCATCCTTCTCACAGCCCCTGGGTCTGACTGGAGCAGTGCAGGGCCCTGTAGGGTGACACTATGGCACAACACTGCTGCTCCCAGGTGCTCTCAGGCTGGGGCTGCCACTGTGGGTAATCATGTGCTGATGGAGCATTTCAAAGCACCATGGTAGAGAGGAAAAATCTTATTAAATGTGCTTGAAATGTCTTTTTTTTTTTTTTTTTTGTGCTGTGAACCACAAACTTAGACACAAATAAATAGGAAGGTTATTTTTCTTTCCTTTGAAATGGTCTCAATGCAGAACTAAAACATAAAAATATATGAAGACATAGAAAGTTAAGGCAGAAAAGTCAGAGTAATGACAGAAGCCAAGTAGAAGGACACCAAGAAGAGAGGCAGTCATTAAATCTGGAAAGCAGGGTCCATGGAGTGTCAGCACACTCCAAGAAATAGACACACACAAATGGGTACCTCCTGATTACATCTGGCCAAGAGCTACAGCAGATGTATCCCCCTACTAAATGCATATTCCACTTTTATTCTGATCAAATTACCTCATATATCTCATGGTTTAGAGTCTCCACAAGGACATTATCACCTGTCTGGTCGATACTGATCACAGGTCTCTCCAGTTTAACTCTGCCTTTGAGGCGTTCCATTATTTTCTCTGATATCTGACCAGAACCCCCTTTAAACTTCCTCTCCTAAAAAACAAAAAGAAAAGAAACACAAACAAAAAATCAACAGCATTATTCACAATGACATTGCATATGACTTCTGCTCACCATCATAAAATTCCAGGCCAGATCTTCAAGTCCTAAGGGTGCATAAAACACCCAGACTTTCAGAAGAGTGAGGGCATAAATCTGAGTCTCAGTGGGGATCACTGACTGAACCACTTTTGCAATGGCTTCCCTGATGACCTGGCCTAAAGACTCTTTAAGCCTAGAGAACATGAACACTAATGCAGGCTTTCTAGCATAAATAAACATATCACTTCATTCAAAACAGGTTTTGAGTTTTTTATCCACCACGGTGCTATCAAAACCTCCAAGTGTTGACAAAGAAACCGACTGTAAAGTGAAACATTGTGCCAGCCCAGAAGCAAAACAGATCTTTAACTGGGTCTGGTCTCGAGGTAATGAGCTTTCTCTGTCCCTAGGAAGACACAAAGGAAAAAAAGGAAGAAATGTCACAATCTGTGACACACATTTCCCTGCAATGTCCGTGCAGAGGGTCAGGGGAAGCACTAAAACCTCTTTCATCTACCAGCCACCAGCAGTAGATAAAGCAGCTCACTTTTATGTGTAAGATGCTGGTACTGGCAGGGAGGAAAGAATCCAGAAAGTTTCATGCTGAAAGACTGAAATGGCTACCCAAGCAGGTTTTATAAGACTTGCCAGGGCCACTAAGCCAGAAGTCCTCAGTGCTTGTGCTCAGCTAAAATTGATTGGGGTGAGGGAAGAAGGAAGCATGATAGGAACACAGACAGCTTTTCCAGCTACAATCCAGCTACAAAGAAAAGAAAGTGCTCTCCCCAGGTAGCTTTCCCTTCTCCACACGTTTCATTTAGCCATGAGTATCTCGGGATTAATTTTATTTTTAACTCTTGCTGCAGCAGTTGCTGATGTGGGACAGAAAACATGACTGAGGGGCTCCTGAGGAGGAAGACTCTTAGTCAGGTCTGTCTCCTACCACAGGAGAGCATCAGCACTGCTTACATCCTTCCTGACATGTGGTTCTTACAGCAATGGACAGAGGTTGATGGAAGCTGTTGCCATGTGAGCTGGCCCAAGAAGGAAGGGCCTTTTGCTATTTACAACCAACTCTTGTCATTAGAGGCTTCAACACCAAAAAAACACCCACATTTCACTCTGGAGTACACTTGTTCTGAACTTCTGTAAACATTCAAATGTGCCAAGCAACCCACAGAAAATAAATTGGCAAAAAAGCAACACAACTGCAACAACAGTACTGTGCTGAAGTGAATGCAGAATACCCCCAACTGTTTAAATAGTCCACATTTATTCCACATCATAGCTAATAAAATTAGGGCTAATCCTAATTAGGATTAGGGCTGTATCACCCCATGAGAACACATTTCCCTCTGGGCCCACATGCTCTCATCTTTTCATTAATTGCAGGGTTTGCATGGGTACAAGAGTGCACTTGCTCATTACGATTTCGAGAGAGGAGGAAGGAAATGAGACATTTTGTACCTGGCCCCCATTGGTGATAGAGAAAATCCTGGATGTGCCCCCACACTGCCTCACATACCACAGGAACCAGAGGGCAGAGACTTCGTGAGGCTCAGACGTGACGTTGACGTTGACAAAGACGGTGGCGAAGTCTCTGACAGCTCTGCATGAGACACAGGACCAGGAAAAGACTATGAGAAAATACAACTTCCTGACTGCTTTCAGGATTTTATTTGTCACACTAAACAAGGGCTGCTTTCCCAAAGTCAGAAAAGTCAAAATGATTAATATCTGTTTTATTTTTCATTCTGTACTGAGTCTGTTCAAATGGGTTCCTACCAGCATCTTCCTCCCTCCCCAAGTATTTACCCATTTAGTTTGAATTCCCACTGATTTCACCTCTAGTTAAATAGTTTCCCAGCTGCTATTCCTTTCATCAGAATAAATACTTTTCTCAGCAGAAGAACATTTTTTGTAATCTGTTAGTGAAACTTTTTTACATTTCTCATGGGGAGCACATCAGTTCCAGGGTCTGATGGGTCCTGAGGGACTGAAGCAGCCACACAGCCTGGACATTCCCCACCGACAGGAACAGTGCTGCACTGATCTTTTGTGAAATCAAGAATTAGACTTGGTAAATAACCCAGACACAGAAACCAAATTGGCAATCATTGCCATAAAAACAAGGGAAGGGTCACCTGTCTACCACAGTACATCCCCAGAACATAAACAGAGAAACAGCAGCAGGAACAGAGGATCTGGCTATTCACAGTACTTGCATTTGTGGCCACAGATTACTAAGAAAATTGAGATAATTTTGCAAAGAAGGTAAAAGGACTTTGACTTTGATGAAGCTTCATGAAACAACATGAATTTATAATCATCTGATAAAGGAAGGAACTTTGCAAGTTATCTGTGCTAAAATACGTAACTTATAAACTTTTATAACCTCATTTCCCTAAGTATGAAGTTCCTTCACCCCTATTTCATTAGCCAGGATATGAAAGCAGCCTGCACACAGGAACCCTCTGTGACAATTCTGAGAGCACCAAGACACTAAGCAGTTGCAGCAAGTTCAAGCCTAAGAAATGTGAAAGAAGTCTACAGGATCAGTAGATGCTGATCTGTGACACAGGACAAACAAATCTTTTGTAATCTTGGTCCTGAGTCATACAGAAAATGCTATGGAAGAGCTTTTCTCTTTAAGCACTGTTTTTTAACTGTGTGGAAAAATGTGGCTTGGCTTAAAAAATCTAAAATGGGTTTTTACTGAGTTTTTGAATAAGCACATCCATTAAAACTGGATGTTTTACTGACAATATTGGCAGTAGAAGCTGCCCAGCAGAGAAGTCTGTTAAAGGAGGGATCTCCACAAACCCAGTCCTGCTTATGTTCCACCAGCTCCATGGCTAAAAGCAGCAGTAAAACTAGAAGAGGAAGAGTCAGTGCATTTGCAACAGCAGCTCAAAGTAACTAAGTTTGCAGGCAAAAGGCTCATGAAATGAATTGTAAAGAAAACTCCAGTGCCACAGCGAGCACAAGCAAGTCCAAATGGCTGTACAGCATATCCCATGGAGCTGGAGCAAGACCTAAGCCATAAAAACGAATTTCAAATGGAAAGATTTGGTCAGGAAGCTGCAGGCACAGCACTAAACTGCAGTCAGAATGAAAGGGCAAACAGAGCACAGCCACACAAATAAAAGACACTGAAAAGGAGGGAGGAGAGAGTTAGAGAACAGCACAGGGGCTGGCACAGCAAGCAGGGACATGAGTGCTCACAAGAGCACACTTCTCTGCCTTATAAAGAGCAATGATTGAAAAGAGAAAGGAAAGAAAGAGAATTCCCAGTTGTCATCACCTCAATGGATTGAACACTGTTCCTTTTTTTATTTGTACAGTGCAGTCCCTCACAGAAAACACATTGGTCATTTTATAGATGGTGCAACACCTTGAGCCCTCTTCCTACCAGCTCTTGTTGATGTTCTGTTGGATCTGCTACTGACAAACAAGGAGGACCTGTGGGATGATGCAAAGCTGAAGGGCAGCCTTGGCTGCAGTGGCCTGTGGAGTTTAAGATCCTGAGAGGAATACTCCAAACAGCAGAACTGCAGCCCTGGAATTTGGAAGGGCAGGTTTCACCCTCCTCGAGGGCCTGAATGTCTCATAGGAAACTACTGTGTAAGGCAAAGAGCCACAGGAGAGCTGGCTGGAGTTCAATGATCCAATGGTTTGAAGTGAAAGGATGGTGGGAAGAGCTCACACACCACTGCTGTGTGCAGGGACCTGCTGAAGCAAAGCCCAGGCTCCCCCAGCACTTCTGATGCCACCTGCCAGCCAACCAAAGCCCATCTCAAACACCTCCTGCTCTGTGCTCAGCTCTACCACAGAACCTGACAAAAAGCCACCGTCATTCCACAGCTGGAACTTCAAAGCAGGTAAAGATTTACGCACTTGGTCCAGCAAATCTTATTTATCAGCTCTTTCATGGTCATTTTGTCCCATTCTTCAGCATGTGGAGCATCCCATGGAGCATCAGGAGGAATCTGGAGACAGAGGTGAAATATCCAAGGAATTATTCAGTACTTCACCATTGCCTGGTCATAGCTAGTTAGTAGCACAGACTTAATTGATATGCTGGCCAGGAGTTACTTTTGTCCCCTGCACATGGATAATTTTGGAAATTCACTAAATGGAATAGTTTCCATTCACACCTTAGGGCAGGAATTGTACCATGACCACCAAATCTGTCTTTGACCAGTGAACCATATCCTTCTGTTGGGACTCATCTGGATTTTAGTTGTCCAGAAGCAATTCCAATTTATTTGTCTTGGTGTCTTGTAGAAGTTGAGGGGAAAGTTCTTTATCCAGTCAGTTCTAAAATGAGTATCCAAAGGCTCCTATGTCTCTCTGCTAATTGCAGAATAAAAAAAAAAAAAAAAAATCTAGATATTTTCAAATATTTTAGGCAGTTAAATTATTAATAATAATTCTTTGCAGTAAGTAACATGACGTGGAGGATACTACCATATTCCTAAAACTTTAGAAAATGTACTATTGACCAAAAAAATGTGTAGCATAATACATAAATTTGATTCTGCAAAACCACATAAAATCAATTTGGAATTTGCAGGAGTGCAGTGAGTTATGCTTGAAGATTCTGGTAAGGTAAAGCCCTTGGTTTATGTCTAGATTATATGGGAGCTGATGAATATTTGAAAGAGAGCATAATGCTCCAGGGGCTGCAGTTGTACTGCTTATATCTTGAACTTTAAAAATAAAGTTCCTGTGAAGTCAAAATGGAGCCTAGCTTAGGCAGCTACAAAAAAAAAATAATCATCTTTACTCAAAATGCTGTCACAAGGGAAGGAGAAAAAAAACCTCTAATCTCCCAGCTCATGGGATATTTTTTCCTGTCATGAGAAAATACTTACACTGAGTTCAACCTCTTTTTTTCAGATATCTTAGATACCTCCAGATCCTTTTGTCTCCTCTCACAGAATCATAGAACAGTTTGGGTTGGAAGGGGCCTTTAAAAATCATCTAGTCCACCCCCCTCTCAGTGAGGAAGACCTATTATTTCTGACAATTCCTGCGAAACACAGAAATCATTCTGATGGATGTTTTCTTTCTGTTTTGTTTTGTTGTTGAGGGTTGGTTTTGTTTTTTTTTTTTAATTTTAAAGAAGCAATAAAAAACCCTGTCAGAAAGAAAAAAACCCGATTTATTCACGGTGACGTGAGCGTTGTAGGAAACACTGAATTTTCACAGCCTACCTCTTTTCCCATCTTGTCCATGGTTCTCCAGAAGTTATTGTAATCCAGATAAACCAAGGGATTCCATGTTGAAGGGCAAATTCCTGTGAAATTTCGTGACTTTCCCTGAAATACACATAAAACCACAAACAACTGAAATACAACAGAGCAGATCTTCATTACTCAAGAACACAAAATTCTCAGAGTCATCACATGTTTGGCCTTTTGCCCCAAAAGACCTGGCTGGGTTTTTGTTTTCTTCTTTTTCGTTCTCCTGCGTATGCATCAAGCAATGGAATGCATGTTGCTAAGCAGGAGGGCTAAAAACAGCTGGACTGGCATTAAAAATGACAATAACACCTTTTTATATCCACTATTCTGAAAGGGTGCGGAGGGGTACATTTGTTCTGAGCAGGTTGTCAAATTCTGGGCTAAGGATACTCAAGCCATGGCCAAAGAGATAATATTCCTTGTTCCTAAGAACCCTTCATTATTACATTTAAATGAATCTACTACTTGCCTGCTGCTGAAATGTGCATAATGAAATTTGTGTGGGTCTAAAATTGAATGCATTTCAAACTATTTAGGCACCTTTATGGTACACCTCACCTTAAAAGCAAGCTTGCCTCTTTATCATTCCATGGAAGAAACCCAGCCTATAAGAAAACATCTGAATGGGAAATTTTTGGTTGCAGGAAGAAAAATATTGTACACTTGCAAAAATGGTGTCAGTACTTATGATGTGTGTGACACAGAGCTGCAGCAGCGGCTGAAACTGCTATTATCTGAAACTGTTTCAGATAATCATGTGATAAAATGATAAGAGAAACAACCTAACAGCAGCTGCTTCTTTGTGATAACTTTAATCTGAGAGAGGAGGGGATGAGCAGGTAACATTTTTTCTTATTAAATTGCTTTGGACCTTGCCCCATGTAAGTCAGTGTGAATTTCCCATCAGACCTCTGCTGTCTGCCTTTCCAGATGTGTCAGAAGTAGGAGTGAGGATGCAGGGAACACTCTGACCATGACAGGTAGGAGCTGTGGTGCTAAAGCAGTTTGCAATCTGCTTTTCAGGGCCACCCATCACACCTGGCTGTCACAGGTGGGAGTCACAGACCAAGAGAGAGGCTGCAGTGCTTCAAATGCAGGAAAAGGGGACCCAGGGACAGAGGACATGAAGCAGGAGCCAAACACACCTTCCTCACACTTGGTGAGAGAGAATTCACTGATGCTTCCCTCTGACAATTGTGTATTTGTGTGTAAAGGCACGTGGGCTTCTGATTCTGATTCTGCAGAACATTTTTCTCTGCGAAGATCATAACAAAGATAAAAGGTGCAAGATGAAACTCAGAGATCATAGTGAGCTTTCAGACTTGGCAAAAGCAGTAAAATACCAAAATTCCTACACCTTGGTGAACTTTTGTCAGACCCAGGACAGGCACAGTAGGGGAGGCAAATGTATGTGGGTAAGGGACCACAGCAAGACTTGCCTGGTCCTCTCTCCTCAGAGCAGGGCTCCAGCAGTGCCCCAGCTCTGGAGCCCATCAGGTCACTCTGTGCTGCTCCTCCTCACCATCTTCAGTGAGGGCAGCAGCAAAGCCACTCTCCTGTTCCAGCCAGACTCAACAAATTCTGCTCTGGGACAAGCAAAGCATCAGGTTGTGGTCTCAGCACTTAGTTCAGCCTGAGATTTGCAAATTCAATGTTTTAGAGTTGGTTGTTTTTTTTCATTTCCAACAAATGTTTCAAGTCACCAGGAGGTGGTTGGTCGCCTCCGGATTTCTGAGTAGGTAATCTCAACCTTCTGTACCACATACATTTTTTTTCTCTCTTTTCTCCCTATTTTGTTCTTTTGCAGACTTGCCCTGAAGGAAGGTGGCAGGGGGGATGCTGCTCCAGCCTTCTCCAGGTGCACATGTGCATGCAAAACATTTCTGCCATGGCAAGAGAAGAGTAAATTCTCCTGTGAACTCCCAGCAGGGAATCCAAAATACACTGGCTCTTCCTTTCCCTTGAGCACAATTTCTCACTGCCAGGCTGCAGCACTGTGTTGCACTTCTAAAGGATCATCAAACACTTCTGTTCAAAATCCATTTATTGCTAGTCATTTCATTCTGATTGGGAACGGAGGTGCAATCCACATTTCTTCCTTGACATGCTTTAACACCAATAATTCTGCCCTTCAGCAGAGAGGAGGTGCAGTGCTGCCAGGCCACCCAAATCAGGGTGAGGAGCAGTTGTTATTACTGCTGTTCTGTGCTGTTGATACTGCGTGGGGGCAAAGGGAAAAGATAAGCCTGTGTCCAATCAGGAGCAGCAGCAAGAAGTTCCCAGTTTTTCACTGTTCAGTGAAAATCTCTTTTCAAAAGTCCTTCTGATAAGTGACTGTACTTGTACAGAGTGCTGTCACTTGCAAACAGCTCTCCTATCCTTAGCTTACTTAGCTCAAAACATCTTTGGTCAATGGCATAGCCCTGGGAGATCAATGGGAATACATGTTTTATCCCCTGAGAACTATGAAATGCCAACTGATAATTATAAAAGTCTAAAGTTGTGTTACTTGTTGCTTTCTTCTGCATGCAAAAAAACCCACAACCTCAGTGAGACTGGAACCCAATGGCAGGAAAAGCTGGAAAAATACAACAGTGCTAACAGACCTGGAAGAGGCTAAGACTGAATTCAGAGAGGCTGAAATGGTTCACAGACACAGTGATCCTTGTGTGGCGGGGCTGTACCTATCAGAGATGGGATCAGAGGAATGCCAGCTCTAGCAAATTCCAGGAGAGAAACTCCCATTTCCCATCAGGCAGTGTGAGCCCAATAGCCTTAGACACATCAGTTCTGCAGCTTTCTCTCTGGCACAAGTATTTCCACAGCAGGGAGTAAATCTTGCCCGAGTGAGCTGGGGCTGGTAAGATATTAATTTGGTTTTAATATTGTCTCCTTGCTAGGCAGAAGAGCTCTGGCTGAAAGTTTCACAGAGGAGCTCACTGCAAACAGGGAAGGTCTTGCAATTTTCCATTTTTAAACAGATTTATAGTGTTCTGGATGTATTATTTTCAGAACTACTGTTCTCTTAACTGAAAGGCAAATAACCCACTGGCTTAGTTCCCATGCTGGCACATGGCTGCCTGACTGGCCCACAGAGTTTATCAAACTCTTATTTTCATTTCCTGGTGTATCAAGTCAGATCTGAGTCCTGCTGCCTGCTTGGATTAGTTACCCCACACCAATCCAAAGAAAACAAGATGCTCAAGCACCACCCCTCAGTGGTTAGAAAGAGGGCAGCGAGAGATGAGCTCTGCCAGGTCCCTTCCCTGCCCAGGACCATGCTGGGGCTTGGAGCCAAAACTACAGGAATTAACCCCAAGTTGTGACACCACCCCAAGTTTCAAATTGTGCCAGAGGAGCAGACAATTTTGCCAGACTTGAGAAAGGCAGGTCTGCCCCCTGTCTGCTGTGCCAGGGACAGGACACACTGCAGGAAGCACAGGAGGAGCACCCCCATGCCCCAGAGCAGGGGTTGTTATTGCCTGGGGCTGTGGCCAGCACAGAGCAGCAGCTCCCCGAGGTGTGATCCCTCAGGAGAGAATCCTTCCCTGTCCCCACCTCCAGCAGGTATCAAACTATCCCTGGGAGCAGTGCTGTGCCTGGGACTGTCTGATCCCTGTGTCTGAGCAGCAAGTTTGTGGTGATGTGCAGGGTCTTAGTCACAGACCCACTTTTTGCACCCCAAGCTCTTAATCTAAAGGCAGGATGAAGGAAAGAAAGGATAATGGCTAATCTGAAGCACTGTATAGAAATCCTTGTATTTTATCAAGAGTTCCTTCCCTCTGAAAATCATAATTCCTTATTAAGTAATACTGTCTATCCTGGAGCTATTTGCTGCTGCCAGATATTGCAGGAGTGCAGCTACAGGAGAAGGTTATTAGCACACCAATGCCTCGACTTTCTAGAGTCTTCTAAAAAGGTGAAAACAGCACAGAGCTTCAAGGACCTCTGTTAAAACAAAAAGCTGTCTGCCAGCTCAGGGAAGGGAGAACTCCAGCACATCTGCCCTTTCTCAGTCCAAAAGCACTCTGGCTGAATTATGGGACAGGGAAATTTAGCTGGATAGAGGCTCATAACAAACACTGAAGATTTAAGTTACAGATTTACAAGGACAGGATATCAAAAGAATTCCTCATTGACATTAAAGGAGTCCATGTTACCATGCTAACTGATGGAAAAGAAAGAACAAATGGATAAAAAAAAAAAGGTAAACAATAGTTATATATTTGAATTTTCAAAGAAATTGTAACTACAAAGGAAACCTGCACCAATGAAGAAACTTGGTTATTAAAGCTTGCAGTACATGGGATTTTTCCACACACATATGGGAAAAATTCCTGTCAGAAAGAAGTGGCTCATTAAATCCCTCTGGGGAATTTCACTTTCTCTTGGCTGCTTCCGCTGCTCGGAGAAACCATTTTCCCACTTTCTCCCAACTCAATCAAAGCAGTATCCTGGAAATCTTCAGAAAAAGACAAACTGAACTGATTGTTATGGTAAAGAAAAGACCCAAAATCTCTAAATCCAAGGGTGCTGGAGATTACATACAGATGTCACAAACACTTTTAAAGCTGTGCTTAGTCATGGCAAAAGCACTTCCTCTCCCCTCTGACAAAACCACACCGCACTGCAGACTTTGGAGAAAGCTCCTGGGAGGAGACCTTCCTGTCTGGCCCCAGCTACACACTCCTGGGCAGCCACCAGCTGACAGAAACAACAGCTGAGACACAAGGGGAGAAGGTTTAATCAGACCTTTCAAACCTGAAAGGCAGCAGGTGGCCCATGGCTGATGGTGTATTAGCCCAAGAAGCTGAAAATATCCATCTTTCAGATTAATATTTAATTTCTGGTGGATATGATCCTTTAATATCAAATAATCTCTCTGTTAACCCTTTCTGCCATCTAGGAAATGCCACAGGTACTTGTGTTCCTGGAGCAACTGTAATGAACATGATGAGTGCATCTTCAGCTGGGAGAGCACAAAGCCCTACCTGCGCCTCACAGCCAGCCTGGTCAGGGTGCAGCAGGCAGGTAAAAGAGAGGCAGGTGAAAGAGCCCTGGGCTCTGACCAGCCCAGCCAACAGCCAGGACTGCACAGCTGGAGTTTAAAAGCTTCAGCTAGAAGTGGAATATAAGAGAGGGTTCAACAACACATCCCTAAATCAAAGGGCATGGTGGCTGCACAATGTCTCAAGGAAAAAGGAAGGAGAAAAAGCAGAGGGAAACCTTAGGAAAAGACAGTGGAAGAAAAGGGCTACAATTCGGGAAGGGAATGTGGGAGAAATGAGACCTACAGGAAGAAAAGCATCATTATTATTCATCCAGTGCTTACATCTGGGAGACCTTAAAACCCCTTTGCTCTCACCCTGCTCCAACAACTACAGCTCCCTTGGGACCCTGATTAGCTCAGCAGGACCACGATGAAAAACCCAGAATTGATCCACAGCCTGTGATCCAGCTGAATAGCTCATAATGCTGCCTCTTGCTTAGAAATACGCTTTCCCTTCAAAGAAAACATACAAAATTAGGTGGTCATTAGCGGGGACGTGCATAATGCAATGTGGGACAATAAAAAGCTGCAGCTTTGGTGTCAAAATGGATTAAGGGCTCAAAGTAATGTAACCCATTAGAGGCTTTTATTTAACATAAAGAAGATAAGTGCCTTTTAGGATGCTGAGAGATACATGCCTGAGCTTAAATTAGAGTGGGACAAACATTCTGCTGGTACAAACCAGCCCATCCTTCTTGCTGTAGAATTACATCAATTTTGCATGAGGGGGTGACAAATAACTTTTTTAGTATTATGGAGTGGCTGTGCAATTATTCAAGATGTGCCTGTTTTATGAGCATGGCATCAATCTGCCCAATAAGGAGTGCTTGCAGAAGCAGATGGTAAAACTTTGCAGCATGAACACATTACTCTAATTCTTAGGAAAAAAGTGGGAAGGTAATAGGAATGATACCAATTAAGGATCCACCACATAGGATGGCTTATCTATATCAAGTATGTCAACTGTGACTCATATAGGCTTCAAGTCTGGTTCTGCCAAAGTCTGTTAAGCACCAAAACTAAAGAATATTTTTTAAAAAATTGAAAGCGATGGTCTTTGCAAATTAAAATAATACTTTGAGTTATGGATACAGACAGTAACATCTCACTCCTATGAATCTTAGGTCTTTCTTTGTCCTTCTCCCTGCAGCTCTCACCCTGTACTGGTTTCGGCAGCAGATCCTGGGTAGGACCTGTGCAAAAAAAATCAGTGGGCCAAAGATCTGGCACGAGGGCTGTAAATCTGCTCTGAGGACAGGTTTCATTCCTGGTCACTTCAGCCACAGCAGTACTTGCTCAAGAGTGGCCACCTGGACTGCTGCTGCACCACACCTCAGAGAAACTTTTGGTGACTCTTGGGAAGGGCTTGTGTCACCATTAGCTAGGGAGGGAACCTCAGAGTCTCAGATTGGTGATTAATTCCAAACACCCATTTGTGAGATGAATCCCACTCCACGGGACTGGGAGAGATCTCATGAGAATCCAGTCATGTGGGCAAAATATATTGTCCTAGTCCCAGGCTAGCTCCATAACTCTTTGTCCAGTATCATCATTCAATACTATCCATCAATACTATCATTTTTTAAATTTAAATTTAGCTTTTATTTCAGAACAAGTATTTTCTGAACTTCATGCAAAGCTTCTTTGGAGGGTATGTTCAAAGACAATGTGCCAAAGGCATCCCAGATCTGCTGTCAGCTGCATTTTCTGAACACTTTTAAAAAGAAAGTAAGAACCATTTGTCACACACCCAACAAGCTAAAACAGAATAACAACACTTCAAGCAGGTGCTTTCTGGATTACTAAGGGTGAGTTTTAAATGAAACCCTTTTGATGACTGTCAGTAATTTCCAAGTTTTTGGAAATTTGGGTCCCTCAGCATGGAAATGCAACACTTACCCCTTTATGATGGAACATATGGCCCTCGACATACACTTTATAGGTCTCCACCCCCAGCTCTTTTGCCAGTCGGAGAATCCGGTTTTGGGTAGGTCCCACATAAGATCCACCAACATCTACATAATTCACTTTATCATTCTGTGGAAAAGAATACAGGAATCAGAAGCTGTGCAGGAAGCTCCTCAATAGAAACATCTAGAAGCAGAAAGAATTATTCCATGCTGAACGTGTATGGAATGTATGGGTATGACATTCAGGAGGAATTTTTTTTTTTTAATGGAAAAGGTTGCCAAGCATGGAAATGGGCACAGGGAGGTGGTGGAGTCACCACCCCTGGTGGTACTCAAGAAATTCACGTTGCTTTTCTTGTCATTGCAAAACATTTCTGCAGCTGAAACCATCTCCAGCATCAAGGCTCGTTTTCTCTCCCCAGATACCTGCCTAGACTTAACGCTGCAGGTGCTGAGCACTGCACTACAGTTTTCCAGGAGATTAATCTCCTTCCCAGCACTGCACTCCTTGGCTCCAGCCTGCTGCTGTCTGGACAGGGACCCCCAGCCATGCCTGCCTTGAGAGGTGCTCAATGCACCCCTCAGACCAGCACCCCACTCACTTGGGAACTGGGAAGAAGGCAGAAGGTTTCAGGGATGCACACTATTCCAGCAGGCTGACCTGCCAAGACAGTAACTCCTTTGAGCACTGTTTATAGTGAGTATTTTAAACCTGGCACTCTCAGTGTCACAGAAGGATGGTGTTTATGCTCCATGTTTCACACACAATGATTTCTGCTGGAACACCACTGTTTATCTCTGGCTCCCCAGCAATGGCACCTGACATAATTTACACCTCCCTCAATTCCAGGGTGGGAAGCAGAGGTAATGTCTGTATTACATTACCCTGTGCCACAAGTCACTCTTCATTTCTTTCATTTATTTTTTTTTTCTAAGGGCAATTGAGATGCAGTTCATTTTTGGAAGAAGGAGTGTTACTTCAGATAATTTTAAAATATTTTAAAACATACATCTAAGCATAATGATGAGCCCTGCTCAGGCTGCTTTTTACAGGGCTTTAAGTTATCATGCCTGTTACAGAATGCAAAGGGAGATGGGAAAAAGAGGGGTAATTTTCTGACACTCATGGTCCCAGATGATGGTTTTCAACACATTATTGAAGTCTAGGTAGACAGTATTAATTTTTCTCTCATCTACTAAGCCAGTCACTGCACCTTAGAAGGCTGTCAGGTTGGCCAAGCAGGAATTCTTGGTGAACACATGCTGACTGATGACTTTTGGACTAGTCAAAGAAGCTCTGTCACCTTCTGAGGGATTGAGCTGAAGCTGTAGTTCTCTGAATCAAAATAATCGCAGTTCCCTGTGTCAAAATAATAGGAGTGACATCTGTCACTTGTGTAGACCAGCACAAGTGAGAGTCCACATCCCATGAAGCACTTACCCTGATAGTGAATGTCCTTCCTCCAACTCTGTCCCGGGCCTCAAGGACCACCACACTGACCCCAGCCTCAGACAGCAATTTGGCAGCTGACAAACCTATCAAAAAAAAAAAGAGAATTAAAGCAAGTGGCAGCAATCAGCCACATTAATGGTCAAAAAACTGAACCTAAGCTTCAAGGTCAGAGATTTCAATAGACTGTTCCCAAAAATCCCTGGGAGAAGTTAGGAACTTCACATGGCATCTCACCACAGAAATCATGTGGCTGCTGCTTAGCTGCACATTATAACCACTCACAGCATTCACAGACTGAAGCTTCCTCCTTGGGCTGGCATTTTGGCCTTTTAAAAGCAGCAAAAGATCAATTATTAAGGGACAGACACACATCTTACTCTTCATTTGTGCAGCCTATGGAAAGGCAGCAGCCAGCCTGGGGGACTTGCAGTGCTACAGTGACATCAATAAAGCTCCTCTCCCACATCAACCCCCTGCTCCTCTGCTGTCCCTTGTCCTCATTCACATGCAGAAGGAAAGTCTGCTTCACTGTCAGGATTCATTTTCAGCAATGGAGTTTGACCATGACAATCAAACAGGCTGCATGTAGATACTTTATAAAAGGAATTATGGTCTCAGCAAAAATCATCTAATTATGGGACTTTGTGATGGAGCCACTCTGGAGACAACTGAAATTCAATAGGACAGGAGACCTCTTTGCTTCTGACAGATGCAAGCTGAAATTGTAAAAAGCAATCATGAGTTGGTGAAATCAGATTATCCCACAGCCCTGCAGGCCAATTTGGCACTGAAGCATTGTTTCTTTGGAGTTGTTTCCCCTCCTTAAGTACACAAAAGGCAGCCCTATTGATCAGAACTTCCAGGATAGCCTGCAGGCAGGAGTAACCATATTAAATTCATGTTTATTACACTACCTTGAAATGTGATTAAAATCAACTGCTTGTGAGCCTAAAGAAGGCATGTCTGAAAAGACCAGAGGAGAGGAATCATCCTGGGAAGAGTTAAATATGCTCCTTTATTCTAAGGGCAATGCAGAACTGACCATAAACTTCTATGCATAGAAACCTTTAATGGGAAAGTGAAATGCCATTCACTGGAAACCAGAATTGAGGAAGTTCAAATGTCTTACACAGGCAGAAATTATATATATAATTTTCATACTCATCTAAAAGTAACTTTTCACCCTTGAACCATATTCTTCAGATTGCTGCTGGAGCAGAAGTATACTTAATTCTTCCATCTATTTAATATTCTAAAATTTTAATTGCAAGCAATTTTTCAGTGGAGTGGATATCTTATAAATTGATCTAATTTTTTTCCTCCATGAAACTCTAGAAACAATTATTTTCTAGCTAATTATTTAATCTGTTGAGAGATGGTTTCTCTTCCTCCCCAACATAAATGTAGAACTCACAAATCTGTGATGTTGAAAACACAAACTGCAATATTTTCTTACAAATATGTAATTTTTTATATGCAGAAAAATGAGATTTTAAAATGTACAGTGGGTTTTGTCACAAAATAGTGGATATCCTACATACACAAAATAAAAGGCTGCATTATCCATTCTGTGCAAATACCACTGGACACTCACACATGAGTGGGTAATTCTTTTGTAAGAAAGTTTACTGTAGATATATATGCCTTGAAAAAATTGAATATGAAGCCTAAAAATGTCCAGCCTAGGTATGAAAAAAAACAAAATTAAATGCAAACCTTTGTGCCTAAGAACATAATTTCATGCTGAATACCACAGCTCTATTCCTGCCACAATTGTTTAGGAAGAATAATGGTTACACTGGACTGAGTTGGAAGTTAAGTTCACTACTGGATTATAGCTTGATTATGGGATATATCCAAATAAAGAAGGGCTGCTAAGGGATGAAGAATGTGTTGTAATGTTCAGGTTCTCTAACCTGCTTGCCTGTTAAACTTGTACTCCAGACTTACAGGTGGTAAAGTTTCATTATTGTTAACCCAAGGGTCATCTGAGAAACTGGTTCAAAAAAAGAAAAAGGCTTTGAAGCTCCATGGGCTGGGAAACAGCAAAAAATAAAATGAGATAGCAATGGCTTACTGGGAACTGGGAGAGGGCATGACTCACCAGTAAAAACAATAAACAAAATATGTTTATTTAAGATTACTACTGCACATTTATTTGCTCAAAGCATGGAAACTATTTTCTTTGAAAACAGAGAACTAGGAACAACACCCATTCACAGCATCTCCATGTCTATCCCCATCTCTGTCTGTTGGACCCACCTCTTCAGCTCCATCCTGGTGAGACTGAAGTGCACCAGGTCCAGGTGCTTCCACAGGTTTGTCTAAAGTACAGGTCATGAAACCTCCGTGCTTTTTACACACAATTAAACTCTAAATTGACTGCATATTTACCTTTCATCTTCTCCATAACTTGAGTTTTCAAGACTTTTGTTGCTGTTCCAGTATCCTGGACAGGACTGGACACCAGAGAGTGACCATTTGATTGATGGGGTAAGAATGAGAGAGGAAGGAGTGAGACCTTCTCCTTTCCTGCTCCTTGCCTCATCCCTGCCTGCTCAGCTCCCCTCAGGCTGCATGGAGCCATCCTCTCACTTCCTCCACACCATCTCCATGCCAGAGGACATCACGAGCCTCAGCAACTGCCAAGGAGCAGGGAAGAACTCGTGGATGCCTCATCCCTGGAAATGCTCCAGGCCAGGCTGGATGAGGCTTTGAGCAGCCTGGTCTGGTGGGAGGTGTCCATACCCATGGCAGGGGTGGGATGAGATGGGCTTTAAGGTTCCTTCCAGCCCAAAGCATTCCTCACAGGCACACTATCCCAGGCCAAAGGGAGCACTGGGCTCGGTGCTCGGTCAGACACCGCAGTGTGTGACCGTGCTGCAGACACTCCTGTCACAGCTCAGCCTGGGGCTGTGTCACCTCCACCTCCTCCGAGTGCAGCCTTGAGAGAAAGCTGGAAACCACCCCAAACCACTGGACAAACTCCTTCCAATATCCCCCTAATCCCATGAATTAGAAATACACTACTTGCCTCAGCAAAATGGAAGGAGCCTGCCAAAACCATGCCTCATTTGCAGTATCTGGCTGTGGAAATTCACTTATTGTTAAATGAGAACAAACAAGACCAGACATTCTCCACAAGGGTTTCTATGGAAATCTTACAAGCAGCTCCCTTCCTCTGAAGATGCCATGCAGGAAAGCTCTGTTCCTATTGATTTTGCAGTGCTATTAAGGACTCAGAATTGCTGCTGCTACAGATTATTCTGTGGCTGCTTTCATCCCAGAAAACTGTAATAATCCTACCACAAGCAAAGCCCTTTGAAGTTCATCAAAACACTGGGTATATAGTAAAAAAAAAAAAAAAGAAAAGAAACTAAAATGAATTGATGCCAGCCTGCAGATTAGAAGACACACCCCATGACTGAAACATAAGGATACTGAACAATACTGAATTTAGTAATACAACAAAACCCTACTTCTACCTCACAGAGAAGAAAAGTTCACCTCCACAGGTCACAAAAATCACTGGGACTTAAGAGATTTGAACTTGATTTCAAAGTAGTCCTGTACTGTGGAGAATGGTTTCCTGTTTTGTAGGGAAGTTATAAGAGTAGATTTATGAGGATAATTCCAAGTTGTCTCAGTGCTGGGGTTGATACAGGACACATGAGCAGAGATGAGTTCTACAGCACACTGAGAGTTTTAAAAAAGTTACTTTATTGGAAATGTCATAGTGATTGCATACTTTTCAAAATCTAGGCTCTGTAAATACAGAACTTTCTTAGAATTCATAAAATTCTTATTAATCCACCCTAGTGTACATGGCATGGGATAGCCACATTGTGAGAAAGATGATTAACTCATTACTGTAGTCTTCTAGCAAGCTTTAATTGAGGAAATGGGGAAAAATCTTCCTGTAAAATCCCAACATTTTTCTGATCTTGAGTAGGGAACTAATTCTCAGCCTTTTTTTGCTCATTTTTCTAATATGCATCAGAGTAAAATAAGATAATTGGCAATATATTACTATTGAAGTTCCAGTGTAATGGCATTCTAATGTTGTGATTATTTTTACTGTTTCATTGATGGAAAAACCTAACTTTTTCTAAACACAGTTGAATAATTAAACCTGGCAATGACCACCTTAAAATCAGCTCTCATTTTTCCTGCTAGAAATCCCTTTGGCAAGTAAAAATGAACCTGTCAATAAGAGATGTAAAACATTTCTGCCATGACCATAGGGTAAAATCTCCCTTTGTCACCTCTTTATTCTTCTCCTGTAACCCTAATTACCCTTTCATTGGAATTTTTGTGTGCATCATAGCGTTTATTTAAGTTTTAAAATACAGTTAAAATGTGCTCAGTTACATCAGATTGACCAGAGCAGCCACCAATGGGCAACAACACACAGAAAGCTGAGAATGAAAGAATTGTTTCTGTTCACTAAGGATTTAAAGATTCTTAGTTGCCACTGAATATATGTGTAAAATAAAATAAAACAATAATGCTATTAATTCAGTAACAGCATCTTAAATCCACACAGAACAGCAAGAATGCACAGTGTGGTTCACAAGCCTACATTTATTTCTATTTCAGTGCTGCCTAATACCATAACATCACTCATTTTCTGCTTGTCAGAAACCATGTTTTATCTTGCCATACTTCCTTTCACACCCCTTCTTGTAGAATACTTGGTACTGGAGAGAGATTGAGTTTATGTATTTTGTCATTTTCAGGTAAATGTATTTAATTTCTTTTTCATCAGTATTTTTTCCCTTTTAGGAAAAAAAAAAATCCACTTGATTCAGCAAAGATCTTAACCAAAAGAGAATAAATATTTTTTATTACAGAGCACATTGTCCAAAGGAGACCAAGCCACTTACTGGTTTCAATGGCATCACTGTCTAAATGCTTCCTACAGATCAAGCCTTGTTCTGAAGGCACAAAGACAGTTCCTCATGGACAATATTAACAGAAATACAGTGGGCAGGAAGAGGGAATTCTATCCTAAGAATGAATCTGTTCCTCTACACACCCACTGGTATTTTCATGCCCACAGCTTCTTGCAGTTAACATCCCTTCCCCAAAGTCATGCCCTCCCCCAAAACAAAGGCAGACAAAAGTTAATAAGCACAGGGTAGGATATGAAGCACCTTTCCTCCCATTACATATTAAAATGAGCAGTTAAAATGATGACAGTTTGATGCCACCTAGTAATGGAAACAACCAAGGTAATTACACACATTTTATGACTACTGACAATTTTTTTTAGTCAGTGTTGTGCAGAATTCCTGCTACCTAAATGGTGACCTTCAACTAAAAAAGTATGTGAAAAAGTGTTGCTGCTAAATTATGATTAATGTCATCACCACAAATACCAATAACAGTTATTCCCAGAACAGACATCATGCCTGTCCCATGCCTGGTTTTGTAATGTTAGGGTATTTTCAGGGATCTGTCATGAGCACTTGGCTATTTCTTTTGCTGGTTGGGGAAAAAAACACTCATAGGATTTCAGTAGCAAAACAGCAGAACACATTATGAACAAGAAGGCAAACGGAAATTGATATTTCTGCTTATTTGCTATTATTGTATAGAGCATCCATTACACTTTGTACAGGGCTCTGGGAGTTTTGTCCCTGCTGTAAATGTTTCTCACAATGACAGTCAGCTTGCTAGGAGTACATTGGGAACTCAGAGCTCTGTGAAACATTGTTATTTATTTCTGCATCCCCAAAAATGGTCTTTAGGAATCTCTGGTACTAAATGACAACATCATCACTGATTATCAGCTTTCTGGTTGGATCCAGAAAGAAGGGAGGAAGGAACTGGGTAGGTGGAACCCAGCACAGGGCAAACACAAAGCGACAAACAGAGAACACATTTTATGAATCAAATATTGCATTCCTATAGGTCAAATCCCAGGTAAATACAGAAGTAACAGCAGAGGGAAAAAAATAAATCTATTGAAAACTAGTCCAGATTTGTACAGGTCAGACTGACTCTGTCTCACACCAACAACTGTGTGTTTGACAGTTTATCTGACGCCACCACCCACCAGCAGCCTGGCGTGCTGTCAAAACAAACAGGGCAGTGTACAACAGAAGTGGTGCTGCCAGGATGGCAAGCAAGGAAAATCTGCATTTCCTCATTATTCAGTCTTTCTCTCAGAGCCCAAAGCCAAGGCGTAGGTAGCTCGAGGGGTAAGGCTGTCGATCACACTCTGTGGAGCTGGAGATGCCAACACTGAGCGCTTCTCCACAGAGAGAAAAACAAAAAAGTCTTAATAAATGTATCATATGTTTTATTTCTATATAAAGACCAATCACTACTGTTTTTATATACAATTGTTTTCCAACAATTTGTGGCCCTTGGACTCTCCTCTAAGTTCAGCAGAAAGCAGCGCTGTTTCCTGCACATGGCTGGGAAATCTCAGCTTTTATTTCATGTACCCACACAATCTCCTTGTTTCTACATAAGAACAAACATCTTTTTCAGTGGAAATTAGAACTATCCATGTCAGCAAATTATTGTCTTAAGTGTAAGATTCAATTACGTCTCTTTTTCCCTTGTGTTTTGTACTTGTAACACAATGTGCTGAAATTTCTTCTAAAAGATATTTGCATACAGCATTATTTGGACTTCTCTGCTTCTGGACATACTTCTCCACCTCTCTGGTTTACATTATGTAGAAAACCATTATTAATTCCCCATGCAATCTTCTGATAAACTTGTCTTCCACATGAGGTGAGGCTGGCACATGAATATACTCCCATGAAAAAACTTAAGGTCTTTTGCTTACATTTTTTATTTTTTTTTCCCAAATTTGGAACTATTTAAGCTTGAATTTTCAGGGTGTGTTTTTCAGGGTGTGGTTTTTTTGTGATTCTCTTCTGCTGGAAAATCTTGGTCAAAAATGACCATCTATTTCCTAATGTCTAGGGAAAACATATTCTTTGATTTTGAAAAATCATGCCTTTTTTTAATTCCTATTTTGGACACTGCAGCAGCAACTTGAAATTTGGCAGGGAGGTAACCTTGGAGTCAACATAGCATATTTTGTTTGTTATCCATGTGAAAATATGCCCCAATAAGGTCAGTTAGAAAGTTTTCAGAAATTACATGTCACAGCAATCCTTTTTCAGATCTGACAAGCTGAAATATCTGAGGTTTCTCTCAAAACTCTCTGTGCATTTATTGCTGTCCAGTTGTTAATGAGCAGTGCCTGAGGACTGACTGAGCATCCAGGACCTCCTTACAACATTTTGTGCCATCATCTTGCTGGGTTTCAACAAACACACAACCAAGTAGAATCAATCAAGTCAAAATCAATCCAAAACAACACTCTTCAGTTCAGTAGAAAATGCTATAAATAGAAAATGGGAGCAATATTCAAGCCATATAAATTCCCTGTGGGTATGGGGAAAGTCTTTAACTTCAGGCACCAGTTTATTTAATATGCTTGGGTATAAAATGCTGTAATCAATATTAAATGTATTACAGGGGACCTTATCTATTAAGAGCGACACAAACGTGCCTGGGGATTTTCCTGGCCACAATCCACATTTTTAACATGCAAGACCAAAAGGAAAGAGGAATCTATCCCAACCTCTGCAGCTCCCTCTCTGTAGGGATCCAAAGGCACTTGCTGATGAAGCCTGGGCAGTTTGCCTGTAATTCCATGGGGATTACAGCAGGAAAATCTCAGAGGTAGAAGCCACCCAAGCAGAGAGTTCTTCCAAAAGCACTTTTTGCAGAAGCTCCCTCCACCCCTTGCAGTTCCCTACAGGCAGAGTGGATTCTGTGTCCCGGGAATGACAATATTGGGTTGTGCCAGGAGCATGGATGAGCAGAACATCCATCAGGCTTTGTTCAGAAATTGCCTCTCAGGACCATGCTTTGCTCTGAGGAACAGACAACTCCAGAGCTGCCTGTCAGGATTTGAGCTTCATTTCACAAATAGTGGACAAATATTTTTAAAAGCCACAGTGTCACTACTGGGATGTTCACACTTAATAAGCACCTTGCTTACACCTCATACAGATTTCACGTATTTCTAGTAAAGAAATAGTTTATCCCAGATTTCCTATCCTTTCCTGTATTTAAAACACAGTAGGAGAGGAGACAGAAATCTCACCAGATGAGTCAACTGCAAATTCAATTCCAGAGTTACAAACAGAAAGTCAAAACTGGAGTCAGAGATGTTGAGAGGAAATCCTGTCCATACTGGAGCATGATTTACTGTCTATTCCATCAGAAGCAGAATTCTAGATAAAGATTACTTTTTTACTGTTTTTTAAGACCAGAAAGCAACACTGTCTAACCTCTTGCAGAACTGAGGTGTAGGCATATTGGTACAGGAATGGTAGTGACGGAGAAGCTGTGAGAAAAGCAAAACAGACCAGAGGCTGATCAGACTTTAATCCCCAGCTATGAATGGCAGTGTAAAGATGGATTAATTATTAAATGAGGCATTTATTGTCTATTTTTCAATGTCTGTTTTCTCAAATTGGTGCCTGTTCTAATTCATAACAGGCAAACACTAATTTTAATGCCACTGGCATAGGGTTTCCATTGGCATGAAAAATGCTCCTGTACCCCAGGACTGCTGTGACATGTTTATTTGCCTTTCTCACGCCACTGACAAATTTTTGGGGACTGTGAGCATCATGAAATTTTCTGCTTGGCTCCATTTCAATCCCCACACCAGGTTTTGGTCCAAGGTGTAGGTGTTACAAAGTAACTTTGTGGTTTTGTACTAGTGAGGCAAGATACCGCATAGAAATACTCAAAGCATTTTCTGAAACACTGCAACAGGTTTGGGACCTGGAGGAACGAGGCACCCTGAAGGGAACAGGAGCTTCTCAGAGCTCTAAAACCCGTGTTAAGAGGATGTTGCCATCAGCTGCACACAGAATGGGTGGCAATTCCCTAAGGACACTGTGTGTGTGCATTACAGGAACCCTAAGGATGAAGACTGAATGTCTCATGCTAGCGGGAAAATTACCAGGCATCTGGTAAAACTAAAAAGCAAGGAAATCTAGATTCAAAGTCTTCCTTTCTGTTTAGTGATGCTACAGATTATTTGCATCTCTCTATATTCACAAATAATTATTTAAACACTGTTCTTTTAGTAAATGAAATGACATAATTATGTAAACCATCTACTGTTTTATGCATTAATTCACCGCAGATTACACCAAAGGAAAGCCTCTGACTCGCTCTCAGTACTGGTAAAACCTAACTTTGTCCACACCAATAATGGCTGTAATATCACTGAAGTCACACAATCATAAAACTCACCTTTTCTGAAGCATTAGTGTAGTGAGGGCTGCCTAAAACCTGAGACCTGGCCAAAGCTGCCAACACAAAATTGACCTGAGGGACAACCTAAACACCAATTTTCTCCAAGACAGCAACATTCTCATTGTAGGTAACATAAAAATAATTCATTAACGGGTTTTTTTTTTTTTTTAAGCACAAGGATGAGAGGCCGTGATGCAATTGCTGGTGTCAAAGCAGATCTGAAGAGTATTTTGGGAAGTTCTGCCTGGTGTGAGGAGCCCATGGCACTCGGGCTGCCTCCAGAACAGCTCACAGCAACCAAACCGAACCTAGAGATACTCCCAGATGTTTATTCTGCAGCATTTTCCAAACAAAACAACTGCCACCGCTGCATGGGCAGCCTGATAAAACCACGTCAAAACAGCATCTTTGTGGGGATGAGCACTCCCAGCCCCCGTCCCCCTGCCGTGTCCCGCACCTGTGGGCTCTGCCGGGACACTTTTCCCTCCAGCCTCCTCCCGACGGGCAGCGAGGCGGGAGCAGCGATTTGTCCCTGACACAGCGACACGGATCGTGTCCCCTCTGCCTCCCCGAGCGCTCCTGAAGCCCCGGTGGCCCTGGAGCTGTGCCCGTCCATCGCCACCCCCGNAGGGTGTCTCGGGCAGGGTGTCCCGGGCAGGGTGTCCCGAGCAGGGTGTCCCGGGCAGGGTGTCCCGAGCAGGGTGTCCTGAGCAGGGTGTCTCGGGCAGGGTGTCCCGGGCAGGGTGTCCCGAGCAGGGTGTTTGGAGCAGGGTGTCCCGGGCAGGGTGTCCCGAGCAGGGTGTTTGGAGCAGGGTGTCCCGGGCAGGGTGTCTCGGGAAGGGTGTCTCGGGAAGGGTGTCCCGGGAAGGGTGTTCCGAGCAGGGTGTCCCGAGCAGGGTGTCCCGGGCAGGGTGTCCCGAGCAGGGTGTCCCGAGCAGGGTGTCCCGGGAAGGGTGTCCCGAGCAGGGTGTCCCGGGCAGGGTGTCCTGAGCAGGGTGTCCCGGGCAGGGTGTCTCGGGTGTCTCGGGAAGGATGCTCCGTACGAACCAGCCGCGCTCTCGTAACCCCGGGCTAATGACCCGCAGTGACCGCGGCAGGAGGAGATTCCTGCAGCCAGGGGTTGTGGCAGCCCGCAAGCCTCACCTCCTACTCGAGTCAAATCGTGCTTGATCCATGAGCCAGGGAACAAGGGGTTAACCTTTCCACGGGATATCTTCCCAAAGACAATGCCTGAAGTAATACTTGGCTGTCAAAATTCTGTTTGTACTTAGCTACTATTACTGCTCTGGAATACACGATGGTTGTGATATTCCTTGCCATGCGCTTCACAGCGCGTACAGGTTTTATTGCCAAGGTGTAAATGTCATCCCTATGGAGTGGAAAAAATGGAGAGCCTTCCCCTTCCATCCCCTTCCAAGCAAGCACTGGAGACCTTTAAAGTCCACACAATTACAGGAAATCTTCATGCAGTTTCATGTTAAATATTGGTGTAAGTTCTGAGAGATGCCCAATTCTGCAATCATATTCCATATCTGGGTATGACCAATGAATCCAGTAAGACTGCGGTACTTTTTGGCTGGTGTTCTTGGAAATTTCTCTTCCATAAGGAAAATATAGGACCTTTGTTTTTTGTTAATTGTGCCAAATGGGTGAGATGTAGACCTGTTGGTGTGAGCCAGGGGAGGGCTACAAAAATGTTTGGAGCACCTCTCCTGTGGGGAACATCTGAAAGAGCTGAGATTGTTGGGCTTGGAGAAGAGAAGGCTCTGGAGAGACCTTATTGAGGCCTTTCAGTACTTTAAAGGGGACTATGAGAAAGATGAGGATGTACTTTTTATCAGGGCCTGTTAGACAGGACAAAGAATAGAACAAGCTTAGACTAAAAGAGAGCTGATTTAGGTTTGCTATAAAGAAGAATTTTTTACAATGAGGGTGGTGAAGCACCGTAACAGGTTGCTCCGAGAGGAAATGGATGGCACATCCCTGGAAACAGTCAAGGTCAGGTTGCTCCCAGCAATGTGGTCCAGTTGAAAATGTCCCTGCTTGTTGCAGGGTGAGAGGACTGGCTTTGCTTTAAAGGTCCCTTCCAACCCAAACCATTCTGTGGTTCTATGGCAGCAGTGACTGAGTGCAGAAACATCAATAAATCACTGAGCAACGGTGCGGGAGACAGAACAATGGATCCTCTTCACCAACCAGAACAGGTGCTTTACAAAGTGCAAGCGCAGAGCTCAGTAAGAGTGCTGCAATCTCTGCAGACACAGAAGTGCCAGACACGGTAGTGAGGCAGAACAACAGGTCCCTGCTGCTCTGGGAGATCATCTGCTGCCACAGAAGCTCATTATCACTGCCACTGCTGCTGCTCCACGCCAGGGTAAAGGGAGCACTGAGGGAACAGACCAAGGCTGCCAGAGTGGTTGGGATTCTGAACCAGAAAACCTAATGTTCCAACATTTTGTGCTCAACAGGAAAAAACTCTCTGTTTCTCCAGGGAGATAAGGACACCCACTCCCAGAGCTCTGCTGGCTCCGGTGGGCAGGTCACAGGGAATAAAAGCTTCACTCAGGGGCACCTCCCTCAGAATTCAGAAGCAAAGTTTGGAGGAAAGCAACAAAAACATCCGTCGTGATAACAACAGGAAACTTGTGTGCATCTAGATAACTTGCTGATAGATAAGCTTGCCAACAAATCTCCAGTGCTAAAAGGAGCTGTAAGAGTCTTGTTAAAGGCCACTGGAGACTGAAATGGTTCTACCTAGACCAGCTCCAATGATGAGAGATGATATCCAAGAGTGAATTATAGAAATTATTGGTTCAACCATTGTAGTAAAGACTGAAAAAATTCCTGAGGGGTTACCAAGGGTTACCTTGGGCTTTGGCAGATTCCAGAGGTAGTGATGCCTGTCAGAGCTGTGTGACTGCTTAGTCTTTGGCATCAATAAGAGCACTTACATCAATAATTCTCTCTTAACTCAAACCTGCAGACATCTAGAATCTGGGGGAAAAAAACAAACCCTGAAGCCTTGCTTGAGAACAACAGAATAAACCTAATAGATTTGCTGAAAATGCAAGAAGTAGGGAAGAAAGTTAATGTGTCATATTGAGAGTGATCCTCCTGAATGTGATACCACATTTTTAAATAAAGACTTGAAATGTGTTGAGAAATCAACAGAAAATAAAGGAATGCCAAACTAAAGGAAATTCCAAGCAGATAAAATTTTATTTGGAAATAAATCAATTTTTGCTCAGAAAGGAGAGTTGATTAAGAAGGAAATGCTCACCAGTGGGCCCTCTTTGTTATGCAGTATAAAAAATGAGAACAACACTGAAGGATGAATATAGGAAGCTTCTGTTGCTGAAACCATTTCCTAGCAATCTCTCTAGTTGATTTATGTCTGCCTCAGTGATTGATTTGTAGCAATAATTTGCTGAGCCTGCAGAAAGTGCATGATCATAAATGTGAAAGTATAGAAAGTCACAGACACAGACTTTCTAATTTGCCAGGGAAAAATGACTGAAAGTTGCTGAGAAATACAGTGGAATATTAAAAGCAAAGCTTTCACTTGAGATCATACCTGTGTCAGCAACAACAAATATTTTTGTGTTGCCCCAGGAATGGACAAAAATGGATCAATTTGTTGATGAAAGAACATGAAGTATCCAAAAATAAGTGTCCAAGTCCACCAAGCCCTTTCTTGTACTACCAGTCTTTTGCTTTTCAATTTGACCAGCTGTTAATGTGAGGAAGTCAAACTTCTCAGGTCATGCCATCAAGAGTCACAGTTGTTATTTTGTGTCTGCTCAATACCCCAAAAGATGAGTAAAATCAGTCATAATTGTTGTGAAAGACACGGATATTTTGCATTCCTTCCTATTTCAATGTTACTTATTTTGCCAATGCATCCAAAAATTAGAACACAAACATAGGGTAAATCTCTAGCACTAAATAAATTGTTTTTGTAAAAATAAAATAAATTATCTGTTCTACATCTGTGTGCATAGTACAGGTTTTTTTAGTTATCTATTTGTTTTATGAGTGCATTTTGAAAGGTAAATAGAACATAAGTGCTGTAAGCAAAGAGTGCATTATTCCTAGAAGACTGATTGTCATTATCAAGGTCATAATTAGCACCACTTAGCCACCTCTAAACTACTGTAATTCTTGTATCTTAATGATACCAACAGAGCTCCTCTAAAATACCCTAGAACCTGTCATCTTCAGTGTAACTGTCAGCTGAAAGTTTTGCCATTAACTCATCATCTGTGTTGATTAGCACTCTGCATGCACGAAGATGAGCTTTCCAGGGAGCACCAGAGCCTTTTGCAAAGCCTAAATCACAGAAATTTGCATTCACACGTATTTTAATTCTGGTAATTATAGGGTTAGCAATCTGGGTTGCATCAAGCTGAAATGTGAAAAAAAAAATGTGAAAAAGAAACTCTCCCAGGCATCAGACTCAGTAGTTCTACTGGGACTCCATTTTTGGGGCAACAGGGAATGGTGTGGAGCAACTTCAGAACTCAGCTCTAGGTGATACTGTCTTTTCAAATAACAATTTTCTATTTTGGAACAGTATCTTAGACCATCTTAGGCTAAATTTAGGGTCAATAGGTATTTTGTATGGCTAATGATGTTTATAGATTGCGGTTTTCTTCCCCTTCCGGTTCTTCTCTCCCTGCCCAAGGACTTTATCAGTAAAGGAGATTATAAAATACCATGTAGCACATGATAATTAGACTATGTTGCACACCATACCTATGGAAAGAAAAAAAAAAAAGTTCTATAGAATGTTCCAGGATGTAGAGTATTTTCCTCTGAAACAAATTCCAAACAAACAATGGCAGATCATTGTCTTCAAGGGTTTTGTGCAAGAGGAAGGAGAGAAAATGCGAATTCAGTAACAGCAAGGAAGGGGTTACCCAGCCTCCTGCCCAAAGCAGATCTTGTGTAGTTTGAATGAACTGAAGGATGGAAAAACCATAAACTCTGTGGGCTTCAGGGTCTGGCCACTTTCAGAGTGAATCCCTTTTTCCTTACACTGAGCTGGCATTTCCTGTGGCTCTGGGTTGTGCTTGGTGCCCCTGCTCCATCACAGGGTGCTGGGGGCTCTTTTGTGTTTTGGAACTTCTGTTGGAGGCATTTCAAGAAGCATTAAAATCATGACATGGCAGAGTAGGTCTTGAAAGTAAAACATCATGATACCATGCCCTCAGTGGGTCCCTTAGGGAATGTTCCTATAATCACTTCACCTCTCTCTGGCCCCCCAAATACAGTTATCTTGATGCACTGGAATAGTCCCAGCTGGGGATTCACAGACAGATTGTTCAACATGTTGGCAAAAACTGGTTAGAATCAAATTGGTAAACTGTGGATGGCACTGTTGAGTATTTATCTTCATTTTTATAGACTAGGATATATATTCTTTGTTTCTCAAGATAATTTTCTTCCTTAGATGTGTATCCAAAACCATCTGAAAACCATCAGAAGTCTGATGTTGCAGAACAGTCTTCACTGGTATGAAAAATGGGTTTGTACACGAAGATGGCTGTGGAATATTTACTCATCAGTGTTCATTTTCACTGGCATGTTTTCAACAGTCCTAGTGATCTCATGCTT